GAATATGTAATTTTATTAGTGGATTGTTGATCAAAATATGTTGTTATGTTGTTAAACTTGTTGATATGATCTAAAAGTGTCAAAAAGAATTATTGATATAAAAAAAAAAAATCAAATTTTTGATAAAAATAAATCTTAATCAATAAACATGTAACAAACAATTTAATTACAATTTACCTACTGTCGTACAAAATATGTAAAAACTCGTAAATTGCAATAGTTTCATGTTATTGAAATTAGAGCACCCACAGGTCACACTATAAAGTTTGTAAATTGATATGTTCTGATAAATATATGTAGCTATTGAAAACATTTTAACTAAAAAAACGAATTTAAAAATTAAATTAATGAGGCATCCAAAGTTAAAATTTGATAGCGTTTCTTACTGTGTACTCGATCATAATAATATATAATATTAAATATATCATCATAGTTTTGTTTTTTTGGTTTAGTATTTTAATATTAAAAACAAATCAAATCTAGCATTGATCGATGTTTGGGCTCTTTTAAAATTTAAAAATACAAAATTGGATATGTGATATTTTGTGTATGAAATATGTAATGCATAAATATGAGAAATTAAAAAAAAAAAAAAACAAAATGATACAGGACTTTAATAATTATAGTACGTGTTACGTTTTCAATTACGATTAATATTCTTACTAGAGCTCGGAAGTTGTATGAGCTAAAAAAAAATATGCTTGTAAATGTGCGCGAAAAAATTACAAAATATACATTAAAAATGATGTTAAATATGCAAAAATTTGTTCTAAATTACAAAAAAAAATTACATCGAATTTTGTTAATAAATTAATAAAATAATAATAAATATATAAAAACTGTTTATAACTGAAAAAGAATTAACTGGTTAGCATGTAATCAGTTAATACAGCTGGTTGGCATTTCGACATCTTATTGAGCTGAAACTATAATTAAATATATTTTTTCAGTATTTTCGAAATCACGATAAATACCTTCGTTGATAATTTTGAGTTATATATTTAATATTAATTGAAATATACAGGTTAAAAAAGAAAAAAAATCAATTTTTTTAGAAAAATATAAAATATGCACTTTTTTAGCAAAATTGATAAAATATGCAAAATATGCATTTTCAATTTTCAATTTTCTAACTCTCCGTTGCACAGTTCAGATTTCTAGCACGGTCTGCTATAAATTGAGAACATACAGAATAATATGTAATTCTTACAATTTCCGAGCCTTAATTATTACGTTAACTATATTAAATAGATATATTCTCGATAAATGTTGTTTTTGAAACCAGCACAACTACTTGAAGAATTTTAGTTTTTTTTTGTTATCGAGGTATAATTTATTAGGTATATTTTATTTATATATATAATACAATACGCATTGTCATACATAGGGGTAAGATTTTAGGGTTTTAACCCCCTTTGATATTTTTTCCTTCTACAGATAATTTAATTTTTTTTAAATATTTAAAATCTTTTTGTGCTATTTGTGGAAATTTTTAATTTTTTTAATTTTATTTTATAAATGGCGTTAAAAACATGACTGCTGAGTAAAAATTAATAATGCTTGAATTTTTTTGTAGCTAAGGCTTGAAAATTTAAAACGATGTTTCTTACAGGTAACTTATACTAGAACTAAAAAAATCTTAAAAATAGACAAGCACAATTATTATTTATACATATCTGTAATTCAGATTTGGACTTATTATTAAACTTAACAGAATTTATATTATATTATATAATGAGACTTAAATCTTTTACGTTTACTATGAATTTTAAGATACGCACTGGCATTTTCGAAACTTGTTAATTAATTTTAAAGTATTATCTAATAATTATAATATAAATCTACTATTTACTAATCAGTATTCATACTGTTCTATGCTATTTACAATAAGATATTATAATTACGAGTGTTGATAACACTAATATAAAAAATATAAAATAGAATAAAATATATATTATTTTAATAATTAAAATAATTAAATATTAATAACATAATAAATGCATTCTTTTCTGAAAAAATATATCAACCTACCGTAATACTATGAATAAAATAAATAACTTTAATATCTATTTCAAAAAACCTAGCATAAAATATACTTACCTATTAATATTTATTGCAGACAATGTTGACACTTCTCCTTTCTAAATCATTTATCGTTTACAATGATGCATCACTAAATTCAATTTCACATCCACAATAGTGATCCACTAAACACCAAATATAAAGCAGAGGGATTCCCCCCAGTCTACCTTTATATATCTTATGATAGTGAAAATGTTATTTAATTCAGTATATTAGTAATTAATGTGTTGCTCAGTATGCCTTATATGCCAAATAAACAACAATTGTGAACTTTTTCTGTTACCAAGTATTTAATTGTTTTACAAATATTTATATAAATGGTTAGATATTCACTGAATCTCTGACTTCAGTATAACATCACTGTATTTTTTTTCTAGTTAAAACCTTTTAAATAATTCATTAATATTATTCCTATAATCATGTACAAAATGATGTTTCAAAAATAAAGTTTCATCGGTATATTTTATATTATGATAATCTAACGTGAACTAGATCTATTATGTAACATTTTATAATATAATCTAATAGTTGCATAGGTACTATGATTTTAATTAGTTGTTTATCTGCATGATCATTTATACGTCTTGTATTTGAAGGTTACTGCTCTCAACACTTTAGTGTATGTGTTTATATACGAATATTTAGCGTTGTCTATTAAAAGGTAAATCACGGTGAATCAGTTAATGTATTTATTCATTATATTTCATGATTATAATTTTTAAAACCCTCAATACATTTATAAATTTCAAGTCGTATTTTAGCAGTCTACATTGTATAATTTTTATGAAAAGGTATCAACACTGACGATGTATGATAACGATGGTCGGATGGGTCCTTTACTGCAGAGACTGCAAGTGCAAACAACCTATTATTCGTTTTGAAAGCAACGAAAATTCCATTTTATTATTTACATAATGTTTATAATAAAAAAAAAAAAAAAAAACGCTGTCTGTGCGAAGTTCTTCGGCGTACAATTATTTATATAATATTTAACAATTTAAGCCAACCGTAGCATGCATTCTGTATTCACTTTCTCTATCCCCTTTGTTTAGGATGTGTGCAAAAATGATCTACAGAAACAATATAATTTTTTAGACAAATATATTGTTCTTGTTACTTGAAGTTGTTGATGTCTTGTTTATCTGTGCTATGCTCATGTGAGCAAGTGAACATTTAGAGTATATCACAGGATTTAACATGTACAGCTGTATGTCTACATGTAATACATCGTTGATTTTCATAGAAATTTAAATAATTTGTTACGGTCGACGATTTTGACCAATTTTTACATTTTTATTTTTTACGATTTTAGCACACGTATTTATATATTTTATACATAATTTATACAATAATACACATTTGTTTGTAGAGTTACTTATATGAACGTGCAGCATTAACTATACATATTATACACATATATTTGTAAGCATATTAGTACATCACGAACATAATAATGTGAGCTATAAATGTTAGTAGTATATCTAAAGTATGTCAGTACGTGTAGACTTGAGTGTATTTGACTATTGTAAGACATTTAAAGGTGACGATGAACATATCACAATCCCATTAATTAATTTTCTATATAATTATTATTGATAACAAAATCGTTAAATTTTAGCATTAAATTAAATAAAAAAATAATAAAACCATTAGAAAATAGAATAACTTAATAAATTATGAAGCGCTTAACATATTATTTCAAGTTATAAAAGAAATTAAAAATATAATCCACCTATCTCATTGATAAACTTCAAGTGCACCATTGGTAGGTATATTAGATTCTGTTATTTGTATTTCGCGTGGATGGAATATTTTATAAAATATGATTTTTATAACCTTGTTGAATAATATGATAATTACGTATATACAATACAATTGTATTCTCAATCGCCACCATTGTTTAATTCATGACAAACATTTTTTGTATTATATAAATCTACATTAACAAGATTTTTCTTTTTATTATATATAATGTAAAATAAAAATTGCATTTAATATTATGCAATATTAGTGTATTAATTTCATATAGACTGTGTCGGTATTGGAGATTTTTTACAAATAGGTAAAATTAAATGTTGACACCATCAATAATTAAATTATTCTCCAAAATACCACCTCTGAATATTTAAACGAAAAATAAAGATTTTAATTTAATCAAATTTAGATATTTAGTTGTGATTCAAAAAATATAAATCATATAGGAACTCCAGACTATTAAGTATCATTATTTCCTATACCTACTTAATTACATTTTCCGCTATTACGTAGCATATAATAGTCACCTCTGAAGTTAAAATACTTATGAAACAATACGAAAGTCTGATGCCATTTAAATATATGAGCTTAAAAAATTGAAAATCATTACTATGGGACACATTTTGATAAGTTTTTAATAAACGTTTATTTAACTATTGGTTAATACGGTAGAAGTAAACATGTTTGGGTTGTTCGCTAATTACGAAGCATATTTCATATAGTAGTCACGTACAAACTTCAAATAGTTACAAAAAATTAAAATCCGTTGCCCATTGAAAGAAGCAATAGTGTGTAAAAAACCAAAAATCATTACCTCGGACATAATATTTTGATTATTCGAAGTAGAAATATTAATAATGTTAAATTGGAGCATAGGTCAAATACAAGAATCGTGTTGAATTGAGCACTTAGTGTTTGAAAACACGAAAATCATTCGTACCTCGTGGAAATGAGGATAAAGCGTAATATACTAGTGGTCGGGTAGATACAGGTAGAACTAATACTTGCAATATGCGAGTGTTAGGTCGTTGCGTTTAGAATATAGGTATATTCATTATTCATAATCTCTAATCAAGTTCATAGCGTGTACAATATTATATAAGAGAAAATAATGATACGAGCGATCTCACATTGCAAAATAGTATGCAACTCGGCCACCGTTGATCTGCTGGCGTATGGTCGCTGCTACGGAGATCCTCGTGTGTTTGGCTGCGCTCAAGTTCAACTGCACATAAAACATATCATCCGCGACCGTCGGCCCGAGTGCTTGCGAATGTTTGTGTTCACGATTATTGTGTGTGTGTGCATCGGTGTGCAATAGCGATCATATCATAAAAACGATTAGTATCCATATCATCGCAGTAGTCAATCCAGCGGTTACCTATGGGTTCTTATTAAGTAACTTAAGTCAAAACAACACCGATATAATTTAAATCATCGTTTTATCGTCATCTGGTCGACCAAATTCCACTTGTACAGTTGTCGCCAGACTTAAGTCGACATCACACACCTGTCCACGTACCTCAACAATAAATAAAGTTCATTAAATTGTACGTAAAAGTGAAAATCGTATTATTATTTTTTTTTACATAAATTTTTGTATTATTGTTTTCCACGAAACGATAATAATTGCAGTAGTAATATTACATTATTATTTATTATAATTTGCTATGTAACTGACTTACAGTCAGTTGGTGTTTACAAAAAATACGTGAGTGAATGTTTCGAGAAAGATTTTTTTTTGGGTCACTAATCGTCCTTCGGCCTACCATCGGTTACATCGTATATAATATCTACACATTCATAATATTCAGGTAAATCGTATAGATTATTATATATATAATAATATATCTATATATTTATTATCTATGACAATATTATTACGTTTTATAAATTTATTAAAAAACGATAACTTGTTTATTCCATGAACGAAACTACAGTATATGTTTTCGAAATCTAAGCATTATATTACTAAGGCTTGAAAGTTGTAGGAACTAAAAAAAGCAAAATATGCGCATGTAAATATGTACCGCGAAAAAATTACAAAATATACATTGAAAATGACGTTAAATATGTTAATATAACTGGTTGGTATTTTGACATCTCATTGAGTTGAAAATATAATTTAAAATATTTCTTTAGCATTTCTGAAATCACAATAAATACCTTTGTTGATCATTTTGAGTTTTATATTCAATATTAATTAAAATATAAAGGCTAAGAAAGAAAAAAAATCAATGAAATATGCACTTTTTTTAGTTAAAATTAACAAAATATGCATTTTCAATTTTCAATTTTCCAACTCTCCATTGCACAGTTTAAATTTCTAGCTTGGTCTGCTATGAATAATTGAGAGCATACAAAGCAATATGCAATTCTTACAACTTCAGAGCCCTAAAAAAAAAGTGGAGATTATTATGTATATTATATCTACATTTATACAATATAATTAATACAAAAATAATATAATGATATAATCACATTATTTTATCCGAATTTTTTGGCCTTTTTTAGTTCCTACCTACTTGTTTATTTAAATTTCCCTGGCTGAATTTTAATCAACTGTATTAGGATTTAATCTTTGCAGTAAGATCATAATATTTATAATTATACTTTTGATTTACTTATATTTACATAATCATCACTATTTTTCTGTCTCGTTTAATAACATGGGTAACCAATAACTTAATTAAATTATATATTAAACAAATATTTATTGCAATGTGTACTATTATATTTAGAATAGATAAAAGTTATTATATTTCCTCTCTTTTCTTTGACATTTTTTGTTGATATGAATTAGCTGTTACTTAAAATTATTTGTTTAGAAAATAAAGACAATTCTAGCTATCATTTATGCATAACTATTGAATATTAGTAACTTATTTTGTCCGATAATTATAAACACCTAATGGTGCAAGACATTTCTTATTTTAGGTGGGAACCGGGGGAGGGCACTTTATTATTTTCTCAAATTTTTGCAATGTTCGAATAAGCACTTATTACCTATTATTTAATGATTCACTTGTTTAAAAAGTATTTATTATTAATCCGAACGAGATTGGTGAAAGGGATCATTCAAATTACTTATTACTTAAAAAAAAATCAATTATCTTGTAATTTAAATTTTGAAATTAATCTTTATTTATATTGCAGTATTAATTCATAAAATTTGTTGTTGAAAAACACTATGAATACTATCAATATCATTATAATTATGTATATACAGCCAGCTAATATGTTCATATATTGCATGTTATTATGAATACTAATACACGTGTGTATTAGCCCGTTCAGATTAGCCTGTGTTCGGACTAACGACACCCTACTGCAGTATATCTACTTTTGTATGACTACTATTATGTTAACTGTGATACTCATACATTTAATATCGTTGTAAATAATAGATTAATGTATTAATTAATATAAGTATACAGTGAAACCTATGTATAGTAGATACTCATGAGAAATTAAAAAATGTCTTCTTTGGGGAGTTTTCTACTATTGAGAAAACCCTGAAAACCTCTACATATAGTGGACATATGCGAAAAATTACTAAATGTCCACTATACGGAAGCGCTATAGAGAATTGGTTATACATATACATATATTATATTGGTATATATTGAAATATTAATTTATTATTTATTATATATATATAAATATATACATATATATATTAAATGTATGAGTATCATAGTTAACATAATAGTAGTGATACAAAAGTAGATATACTGCAGTAGGGTGTCGTTAGTCCGAACACAGGTTAATCTGAACGGGCTTGGAAATAGCCGTATCGCTATACTAATACACACGTGTATTAGTATTCATAATAACATGCAATATATAAACATATTAGCTGGCTGTATATACATAATTATAATGATTTTGATTGTATTTATAGTGCTTTCAACAACAAATTTTATGAATTAATACTGCAATATAAATAAAGATTAATTTCAAAATTTAAATTACAAGATAATTGATTTTTTTTAAGTAATAAGTAATCTGAATGACCCCTTTCCCCAATCTCGTTCGGATTAATGATTATCTACTGTATATAGTATATATAGTATATTTATACATATATATATGAATGTAGTAAAAAGTGGTTACAAAAATATATATAAAAATCTTAACGTATAGATACATATTCATACAATGTGCAGTATTTAACTGATGACCGAACACATAACCAAACCATTTATCATTTTTCGAATAGGAATACCGTCAAAATAACGAAATGTATAAAAGACAAATATAGTACTTTCATGAATTAAACATTTTCGATATGCTAATGTATTGTGTCCATTTATGAGAGTTAATTTTTAATTTTAGGATCAGTTTTTGGAGTCCTAGTCTATTATTAAGAGTTTTTACTATCAGAGGTTATAACTCCTATTATGTGTATGTATTTTTGCCGGGGAATTTAAAAGTGCCCACTATTGGAAAAAGTCCACTATTGAGAGGTGTCCATTAATAGAGGTTTCATTGTATTTATATCATGATATCAATATGTGTTGCAAACACAATATTTTATTTTTTGTTTAAAATTATTACTATTTGCTAAAAAGAATATAAAATCATAACTTTTAATTTTTATCAAACATGATATAAAACAAGGCATGATAGCTATCCTTACACAAATAGGATAATTGAAAATTGAGGCGATAGGTCTGCCTTATTTATGAGAGGCCACTGAATAGAAACTTTAACCAGCTATGTATTACAAAGTAGCTGGCTGCTCTCGCGATTATCCTTATTAGTTGGGTATTTATATTACATTTTTATACCAACATTCAATATAACTTTATACAATTTTAAACTTACTTACAAACTAATTTTAATAATTTTACAAATTAATTTTTGCATTAAAATGTATATTCAATTAATACATTTATCTGGAGTATTTAAATAATTTTAAGAATAAGGGGTATACATATTTACTATTTTATTTGTATACATTTATTTGAGGTGTATTTATTTTAATTTAGTTTTCAATGACTGCTTTCAATTTTACAATAGATATATGATCTAGAGAAGTTGATTCTAGATTCTAATCCAATACAAAAAATAATGCATTAATTAATTCTGAGCGAAGACGATTTGTCAGTCTAGGACATTTTATACTATATTTATAATATTTTTATTAAAACGATAACCGGTTGGTTGAATTAATATAATTTGTATATCATCATATTTGTATATAATAATATACTTAATAGTTAAGAAATTTCAAGTACTATTATGTAATATTTTATATTTATATAAGCAACAGTATTGGTTATGTTTTATTAAGACCCGTATTGCCGTATTGTCGTATCACAGCCACATGTATTGTTTTCCGATTTAGGTTCGTTATTTAAGTTGATAAGTTAAAGCACGATTTCGTACGCGTTATTGATACTTTAATATTCAGTTTTCAGGTCTATAATACACCATAATTTATAATATACATATACATTACATGTTTACTATTTCTATACTTAAACATCACAATTAAATTTTTATAGGAACATTTTTGAACCTGTATACATTTAAAAAAGGAATAATTATTTTATTTTATTTTTAGATTGATTATTATTGTATATATTTTTTTTAAATAAAATTTTTTTTATGTAGTTTGTCATTTTGAGGGGCCACATTAACCTCAAAAAAAAACTGTGGGTCAGCTGACCTCCCAAATCCCCCCTGGGTCCACCAATGATGGCACCCATATTTGGCTAAAGACCAATTACGTCTAGAGCAAGTTCAAAACTGCTTTTTGTCCTACGTTGCTTTTTTGCTTAAGATTGATCACCTACCCCATGACTATTTGTCTATTATAGATCTTTGTTAAATATCCCTGCCCTTGCTTCTCGCCATGTAGATGTAAAACTTTCATTTATTACCTCTCTTTTTAATGGCTCAGTTGATGCCTCTGATCTTCTCTCTTCCATCTCTTTCCGAGTTCTCATGCATTATACTAGAAACCACTCTCTTTTCTTTTTCCCTTTACACCGCACCAACTACTCTTATATAACCATCCTTTATATAAAATGCTTCGTCTATTCAATAACTCCTAGATCTATACTTGGTTTGAATTTAAATATTAACATGTGTTGCTTAGTTTTTAGATTTATAAGATTTATTGCACACTAACTCTTGATATTTATAATTGTACTTATATTTAGTTAAGAATGTTTAGATATTATCATATAATACGTTTTTGTTGTTTAATCATCTTTATCACTATTATTATTGTAAATTTTTTGTATACATCTTATTATTATATATCTTTGAATTGCCGATTGGCGTTAAATAAATAAATAAATAAATAAATATTTCACTAATTTGTAAATATTTTTAAACATATTTTATCATACTATATTATATTCTTACGTTTACAATCGGTGTTTCAGTTAACAAAAACAACTATTTATTAGTATATTATCGTATATTGTCCAAAAAAAAATTCATGCTGTTTTAGAAAAAAATCCAGGCTATATTGATTTTAAAACAATCATTGACGTATAAATGACACACATCCTTCTAAAAATTTGGAATTATCACCTTCAGATATTATGTACTTCAAATATGCTCTAATTACATCGTTGATGTGGAATGATCATTTAGCCGTTTTAAAAATATTTTGAGACTAATAGGTGAAATTTAACATTCGATAATTTAAAAGAAATTGTAATTATTCAATGCAAAAAATTATTTTAATAATTTAATAATTATATTTAATGCATTTTATTTTTTTTATTTTTTAATTACATTTTTTCCCATATCTGATGTTTTAACTTTTAACACATATTTTATAAATTATATC